TAAATAAAAGTTTTAAAATATATATTCCATGCACGTACTATAGAAAAATTATTTAAAATAAAGGTATTTTTTAACATACATTACATATTCTTTAGTATTAGCTCAATTATACTATTATTTCGACATTATATATGCTAGAAAAATATTTTTTATTTTTTCTATAGGTAAGTCCATAATGTTGATTAAAAAGAGAAAAACTCATATAATATTAAAAAAGCGAAAAAAAGGAGAAGNATGATTTTCAGCTTTTTCAGAATGACAAGACAACTCAATAACATGCAGTACTATACTGCGAATTAATTATTAACTTTTTCTGCAAGACAACAACTTTTTTCACATGATTTTCATCTTTTTCAGAATGACAAGACAACTCAATAACACGCAGTACTATACTGCGAATTAATTATTAACTTTTTCTGCAAGACAGCAGCTTTTTTCACATGATTTTTAGCTTTTTCAGAATGACAAGACAACTCAATAACACGCAGTACTATACTGCGAATTAATTATTAACTTTTTCTGCAAGACAGCATCTTTTTTCACATAATTTTCAGCTTTTTCAGAACGACAAGACAACTCAATAACACGCAGTACTATACTGCGAATTAATTATTAACNACGACACTCTCTTATACTGTAGATTTTTACAGCCCTAATTAGGCGAGCTTTATCGGGAAATATATGCCCTTTGTCAGAACAGCTGGTCTAGACTCATCCCACATCGGTGACCGAATTTCGTCATCATCCCTTGTGAGGGCATCCACGTTCGGCATACTTGGCAAATTATCAAGGTAGGGAATATTCCGCTCATGAAATGACACGTGTGACTCGTACACTCTTTGTCTAGCGGGAGGTGGAGGAACATGCTCCCTCGTCAGCTCAGGTTCAACATTCACTTCCTCCTCATCATCACCCTCATCATGGAATGGTGTGTCATCCCCAGACTCATCCGCATTGTTGTCATAATCACTATCATCTTCCTGACTCTGCGCATCAGCCAAATCACGGGTCAATACGTCGTCTATGGGCAACTGTGTGAGGTCAGGAACATTAAGAAGCTCGTTTTCACTGCACAAAAATAACAAAATGATAAGTTACCCAACTACATAAATACTTTTTGATATAGCTATATCACTTTACTTACAAGTCGCACTGTCTTGACGTTTCATGATGGATATTTTCTTGTTGGTGATGACTCCCGGATGGACCACCGTGCTCCAATTCTCCAGAACTACGCATATTCCAACTAGGGACGGGGTCATAACTTGTAAAATTCATATCCGGACGGTACCCCTTATAAAAAATATAAGTGTTAATACAAATCCAATTAAAACATAAAATAAACATCGCCAAAGCGTAGTAAAATTGAAGTTTACCAGTCGTCTTGTGGATTACATAAAGTCGAAAAATTATTTTGTGGCTGCTCATTCGCCGGTGGTGACAAGTTTAAATCAAGGCAAGCTCTTTCATCAGCAATCTGTCCGGCAAAAACTGCTCCAGAATAACCACCCCATGACCGGGGGTTATCCCTGCTACGCACGCCCTCATTATTGGGAACGTCTTCCACCTTGACGTACATTTCCAATAATTTTATTACAATAAATTCCCTATATTCATCCGAAATCCGCAAAAAATCTCTAAGAGTTTCATCATCCTCGATGTTAAACTCAGAATAATAAGCAAACCCCTGCGGAGTCACTGAATATGGAAACCTACCCGTTACTTTAAGGTTAATCGAATGCTTCCTCACACTCATTTTTTTACATAACAACGAAACCAATTTATCATACTCCATAATAAGCGGTAATTTAACATGACACTGTGGAGGTGAGCTATACCTCACAGAGTTATTCTCCAGCACAACCTCACCCCCCCAATATAATGAAACCCTTATTTTTGGCTCTTCAGACATTGTACAAAAATGATTGATAAGAAGAAGAGAGAAGTATGAACGGAAGTTTTAGTTTGTATTGAATGAATTTAGATAAAACTGAAACGCCTTTAAATAAGGCAAGGTGTAGAATTTTTTTTAAGTACTTCGCAGTACAATACTACGTTTTATATGTTTGAATTATTGTTATGTCAGTTAATTATTGGTGGGGGCCAAATTAATTAAAAAAATACCTAGTACTGCGAATTAGCTAAAAAAAATTTTTTTCATAATTTTTTAACTAATTCGCAGTACTCTACTGCGCATTAATTAAATTTTTTTTATTATTAATTCGCAGTACTATCTGCGAATTAACTTAACGGCTAAATTTCCATTAAGTCAATTTGCAGTATAGTACTGCGAAGTGCCTATTTGTGTATTTTTTTTTTAGCATTAAAAATGTGCTTTTTGTCCAAAAAAGCATCAAAAAAGTTTCGGACTCCCTTTTCACACCCCATATTTATTTTCTCCTTTTTAAGCTTTCAGCCGTTATTTAAACTTTTCATCCTCTCATAGATTTTATAAAGTGCACCAGTGTAGTGATCTTCACTTCAAATCAATTTAGCTTTCATCTTTTATTTTTCAATGTCAAATCATATATTATTTTTTTCTGTAAAGAAACTCCATTTCTTGGTGTATTGCTGGCAGCTTTTGCAAAAAAGGTACAATACTCTTTTGATAGCTGGTGAGAAAGAATTCTTCCTTGACTTTCAATTTCTCATTTTACTTTTTGTTTTTATTTTCTTTGTCAGTTAGTAACTGCGTTCAATTGACTGAAGAGGCTCAAAGTNCTATATTCCAGTTATTGGGTAGTTCTTTCCCATCCATCGTTCCTAACTTGTACGAACCCTTTCCGGTTACCTTCAAAATGGTGTAAGGGCCTTCCCAGTTCGGTCCTAATTTCCCTTCGTTAGGGTCTCGAGTGTTGAGGGTGACCTTTCTTAGTACCAAGTCCCCTATATTGAAGTGTCGAAGACGAGCCCTTCGGTTATAATATCTCTCGATCTTTTGTTTCTGAGCTGCCATCCTAACTAGTGCGGCCTCTCTCCTTTCGTCTAAAAGATCCAAGCTGGTGAGCATTGCTTCTTGGTTGGTAACCTCGGTTGCATACCGGAATCTAGCGCTGGGTTCGCCCACCTCGACTGGGATCAAGGCCTCGGCTCCGTAAACCAAAGAGAAAGGAGTGGCACCGGTACTAGTCCTTTCGGTTGTCCGGTAGGCCCATAGGATTTCGGGCAGCATTTCTCTCCATTTTCCTTTTGCGTCTTGTAACCTTTTCTTTAGGTTCTGAACGATGGTCTTGTTGGTCGACTCAGCCTGCCCGTTTCCGGTGGGATGGTACGGGGTTGACAATACCCTCTTGATCTTGTTATCCTCGAAGAATTTTGATACCTTGCTCCCAACGAACTGTTTCCCATTGTCACATACTATTTCGGAAGGCATCCCGAACCGACACACGACGTGGTCCCAAAGGAAGTCGATTACTTCTTTCTCTCGAACCTTTTCGTAAGCCTGCGCTTCAACCCATTTGGAGAAATAGTCAGTAACCAAAAGAATAAATTGAGCCTTACCTGGAAAACTGATCTCTTTCATACCATTTGTATCCTTGCTCTTTTTGTCCGTTCGATTAATAATGGTTTCAGTTGTTTGTGGCCACAAGGGCTCCTCCCTTGGTACTTAATTTTTTCTCTCCATGTTTCATTATTGTTTTCTACTCCCGTTGCCTCTTCACTTAGTCTCTATTGACCATGCTAAAGTTATTTTTCTGTTTTCTTTTTCCTTACTTATTGGTTATTGTCAAATGTAATCTTAGTTGATTAATCTTGCTATTCTTTTACCTTTTAACTACCCTTTCAACTATTACCTTAAGCAATATTCTCTAGACCAAATTCATCTACTAAATAATAAATTGCATTAATTATATAATTAAATACAAGATCTGATTCATCTACCAAAATCAAGTACTAACATATATATGGGGAACGAAGAGGAGGAGGTTATGAAAGAATGAAAAATAAATAGTCATGGATTGTATGGATCACATGTTGGATTAGTGGGTGGATGTTGGATGACACAATTTTGATCTCATGATTTTTTTTTTTGTTGGACACACACACACACACACAATCTCTCTCTCTCTCTCTCTCTCTCTCTCTCTCTCTCTCTCTCTCTCTCTCTCTCTCTCTCTCTCTCTAAAGGATTCATTTCAACTGGGGGTAGGTGAGGGAGACATACATTTCTTAATTATCTTTTGGTACATTTCTTCCCCTTTAATGAACACTTCTTAGACGAGCATTAGTCATTCAGTTTCGTTAAGATAAATTTTGCTTGTGTTTGTGTGACTTTATTTTTGACAACTAACTTTTTATGCTTTTAAAATTTATTTCTGGGAGAGATCAATATCAACAATATCATAAAACATACTTTTAGAACATCATCTATAACAAATACTAGGTGAAATTTAACTTATCACACGTTTGTATATACCTTATAACATCAAAAAAATAATTAATTACATAACACATATATGTATCCAACACCATAAAGCTTAGACATTTCTTCATTTTACGTTTACATTTTTTCGCTTTATTTATATCGTTTAAAAAAAATTGTATTGCTTGACACGATAGGAATACACGTGCATCTAATCATTTAGCGGTCAATAATTAAGTCCTTCAAATATGCAGATTGCACAACAATTTGAGATTGTAATTTTTTCCTTTAAATTTTATGGTACTCATTATACATATATTTTAATATTATATAATATTTCAAAAAGTCTGTACTAATTGACATGGAATACTCGTGTAGAGAAACTAGTTATGCCAAAAGAGGAAGTTTTCACTCTACCGCGTGGACCAATGGACAAAGAAGATAGTAATGCATTTGAGGAAAGAAGATACAAAATGAACCGGATAAATAGAGGAAAGACAAATTATCAGCGCACATGCAAAATACCATTTATTCTTGTAGCAAAAAATGGAAGAGAATTAAGAAATGGACGATAAACAATAGACCTAATATACAAAAATAGGGGGGGTATTGGGGCGGGATGAAATCCACTACTTACTTTTTCTCCTTGCTCAGCACCATAACCACTGTAACCCTTTAATGTTGACAGGTCATGTGCTCTCTGCCAATGAGTAGAGTAAAAGAAAACAAAATCAAGAACAGGAAGTTGGTTATCGACTTAGAGTTCAATAAGCAGAATAGATTAAAAATACAAACTACTTGTCAAGTTAAATGGCAGTCCATGTAGGCGTGCTGAATTCTATCAACACAAATATCCAGAAACATGTTCATTATAGAACCAAACATTACCAGATACATGACTTTTTCCAGTAGTCCTATCATCGGTCAACAGACCAAGATACGACATACAGCAAAAAACGAAGTTTGACTAATAACAAAACACTACAGCGTGATAGAGATGTCAAATGACCCCTGAACATCAGAAACCGTATCCCATCTTTACAAAATTCAAAAACAAGGCTATCAGCATTACCTGTGCCATGGCAGAACTTATGAATTCAGGAATGGGCTCAGTAGTGTCACCAATTCCAAGGCTTATAATTTGAGCATCAGGGTGTTTCAACATGTGTGCAGATCTCCTTCTTGCGATCTAACTTCACCAAAGAGAGATTGTTTATAACTTAATTCCTATTAAGTAGGAGAGAATGTCTACAAAATAAATTTTAGTGTATTACTATAAAGTGTCTTCTTTCCCCTATTTCAAGATGGAAGCATAGAGGGGTAATGGCTGTATAAAATCAGCCAACCAACATCCAGCTTAAAAAGCAAATAATTTTGCTTCAGGGAACTAAATCTGCTCGTTGTCTCATCGTAATTCCACATTACTGCTATATCATCTAAATTAATCTTTTATTTGCATGAGCACAAAAGAAATGCCTCCAATTTATTCCAACCAATGTGTCCAACGTCTTCTCTAATCTCCTACTACTAATTCAATATAAGAAGCATCTTTAATTGCAAAGTAGCTTAAATAAACAGATAACAACAGTCAACTCAATAAAAAAGTACCATCTAAAATACAGACCTCAGGAAAAAGATAACCAGCTTGAAGTTTAGCTAAGTTCTCATTGCGAGAGACCTTTGTCTTGTAAGCTTCAAGCAACACAGGAATTTTGTTAGCGCAGTCAAATCTCAAGAAATTTAAGTATTTGAATGGACAAATACAGGTGAGACTAAGACGGACAATTGTTTACTTTTTATCATTGTCAACAGACAATTTTTGTCAATTATTTTAAAAACGTCACGTAGCAATTGTTTTGACTCTTCACTTTGCTTCTCATCGAGTTAAAGCAATACATATGCAATCACAAACATTGATTAGTTTAAAGCTCTCAAATACCAATTTTCAAAATCTCTAATTGATCCATATTGCACTGGCTCACAGTCTACTATTTGTATTAACCGGAAGAACACCTTTGACCCCCCCCCCCCCCCCAAAAAAAAAAAACAAAAAACCAGAAAATGTGAAACAATTTGCACTAGGAAACAACATTAAACATAAAGGCTTACAAGTCTCCGTAGAGGGTGTTGCAACACATCTGACAATACCACCGGTTTTGCCTGGCAGTAACACATTCTGGCTCCTGCAACAATTAATCCACACTTTATATTAGCAAACATTGCATACACCAGGAATGAAAATACTCAGGATTACCAAAGTATTAATGGAAGCAACAGTAGTTTTTTACTGCATTCTCATCAACGCATTTAGTCATGAATATACAACCAATACAGATGAGATTCTCAGGCAGTTCGCTCACTAGTAAACTCATCCCAGTCTGTAAATGCTATAAATGGGGGATACTTCGTTCAATAAAGGATAAAGAGAGTCCTCAGCTTCGTGTAAGTCAAAATGAAAACATTAATAAAAACCAAAACAAAATGCTCTACCATCAAATTATAGAAAAATAAAGAGTCAAATTCAAGAATCAGTACAACAACAACAACAACAACAACAACGACATACCCAGTAAAATCCCACTAGTGGGGTCTGGGGAGAGTAGAGTGTACGCAGACCTTACCCCTACCTCGAAAAGGGAAGAGAGGCTGTTTCCAGGAGACTCTCGGCTCAACAGGAAAGGCAGTAATATCAGAAAAGAAATAAGAGAAAAGACATGTAACAATAAAAGATACCAGAAAGAAAATAACCCAAACAAATAAGTGAAAGGACAATAAGACAAAACTATGCAAAACACCAATGTGAATACAACAAAGACCGCTAACAAACCTAACGAAACTCTAACAGACTCCCCGGTACCAAGAGGGAAGAACTCTCGACTACCCCCTAGCCTACCATCCTAATGCTCGACCTCCACATGTTCCTATCAAGAGCCATGTCCTCGGAAATCTGAAATCGCGCCATGTCCTGCCTGATCACCTCGCCCCAATACTTCCTAGGCCGCCCTCTGCCTCTTCTCGTACCTGCCAAAGTCAACCGCTCACACCTCCTAACCGGTGCATCTAGGCTTCTCCTCCACACATGTCCGAACCATCTAAGTCGCGCTTCCCGCATCTTATCGTCCACGGGAGCCACAGCCACCCTCTCCCGAATATCTTCATTCTGAATCTTATCCAGCCTAGTGTGCCCACACATCCATCTCAACATCCTCATTTCTGCTACTTTCATCTTCTGGATATGTGAATTCTTGACTGGCCAACACTCAGCTCCATACAACATGGCCGGTCTAACCACCGCTTTATAGAACTTACCTTTGAGTTTCGGTGGCACGTTCTTGTCACACAGGACTCCAGACGCCAACCTCCATTTCATCCACCCTACCCCTATACGGTGCATAACATCCCCATCGATCTCCCCATCTCCCTGGATAATTGACCCTAAGTACTTAAAACTTTCTCTCTTGGGGATGACCTGCGAGTCAAGCCTAACTTCTACATCCGCTTCCCCCGTCACGTTGCTGAACTTACATTCCACATATTCTGTCTTAGTCCTACTCAACTTGAAACCTTTAGACTCTAAAGTTTGCCTCCATACCTCCAGTCTCCCATTAACGCCGCCTCGCGTCTCATCAATCAAAACTATATCATCAGCGAACAACATACACCATGGCACCTCTCATTGGATATGGTGTGTCTAGTGCGTCCATCGCCAGAGCAAATAAGAACGGGCTTAGCGAAGATCCTTGGTGTAATCCCATAACCACCGGAAAAGGCTCTGAGTCACCTCCCACAGTCCTAACCCGAGTCATAGCTCCATCATACATATCCTTTATCGCCCTAATGTAAGCCACCGGCACACCTTTCACCTCCAGACACCTCCAAAAGACGTCCCTAGAGACCTTGTCATATGCCTTCTCTAGGTCAAGTAGAAGTAGATATTTAACCACACCACCAAAGGTTGTGGTGCAATGGATAGGATCGTTCCGCCCTTAACGAGGGGTATCGGGTTAGAGCCCTGTGAATGGAAAACATCTTGGTATGAGTGTATCCCCCTTTAATGGCCTAACGCGGTGCGGCCCCCAATGTGGGTACCCCACACCAGGTAGGAAACTAACAAAAGAAAGACACTTTCTCCCCAGGTCTTTGGAGGAAGAAAACAAAGGTCAGACATAAAAATCGTTAACAAAACCTAATTTTCTACCATGAAATAAAGAAAAATGAATAGCTGAAGCTGAAGCGAGTCAGAATGCTCGAAGGTATAGTGGACCTTCCTTCTCTATTGCTTCGCTAATGCTTAAATATTGAATACTTACCAGCAAAAGAGAACCAGCAATGTTGATAACGAAAGCAGTTATAAGATTCAAATAAGAATCATATGAATTGAAACTATCCCAACAAAAAAAAATAGAACTGGAACTAAGTTAAGAAATCAAACAAAACGCAGGAGATGAAATTTGGTACCTGAGACGGAGTTTGTGCTGACCCAATAAAGTAGAAGTTGATGAAGAGATTGAAGTGGAAAAATTTTGCTGAATAGCTGCCATTTTTTTCTGTTAGAACAAACCACGTTATCTCACTGGAGTAGAGCACCCCCTCAAAAACCAAAAAGCTGTTTTAAGAACCCTATTCTTCCAATTTGCAGGAGCGCCCTTGCTCCGTTAACGCACGTTGCTTTTTATTTGTTAAAATTTTAATCTGCTAATTTGATCTTTGCACGTTTAACAAAGTTTAATTATGATTTGTTAAAACCTAATACCTAACTAGCACTTCGACATTTTTAGACTATTGTCACACCTACTTTTTTACCACCCGAGGAGGATATAAGGGGAGTTTTTCTAATTAAAGTGACATAAATCGAAATGGGATTATTTTATTTATTTTTTCAGAGTCACCACTTGGAATAGTTTATGGTGTCCCAAGTCACCGGTTTATTTTAAATCCCAAATCGAGGACATTTTCGACTTTGTTTAAAAGTCTGTGAACCAGAAATTCTAAGTAAGGAATTCTGTCAACCCGAGAAAAGGTGTTAGGCATTCCCGGGTTCCGTGGTTCTAGCACAGTCACTTAAACTATTAATAATTGGCCTATTATTTAATTTACTACATGTTTTAAAAATATTGTGCATTTTTAACTTTACAACCGCTTTTAATTATTTTATGGAATTATTCTGGAACAAGTACGATTGTCGTACACTTGTTTGTTTGATACACATAGCGAACCGCTTCACATGTGGATTGTCATACTTGTTCTAGCACGGGTTGGGGGGGTCAAAGGTGTTCTTCTGGTGAATTGCCAAATTGTATTAATGCAAATAGTAGATTGTGAGCCAGTGTAATATGGATCAAATAGAGATTTTGAAAATTGGTATTTGAGAACTTTAAACTAATCAATGTTTGTGATTGCATGTGTATTGCTTTCAACTCGATGAGAAGCAAAGTGAAGAGTCAAAACAATTGCTGCGTGACGTTTTTAAAATAATTGTACAAAAATTGTCTGTTGACAATGATAAAAAGTAAACAATTGTCCATCTTAGTCTTACCTGTATTTGTCCATTCAAATACATATGCAATTTTTTGAGATTTGACTGCGCTAACAAAATTCCTGTGTTGCTTGAAGCTTACAAGACAAAGATCTCTCGCAATGAGAACTTAGCTAAACTTCAAGCTGGTTATCTTTTTCCTTGAGGTCTGTATTTTAGATGGTACTTTTTTATTGAGTTGATTGTTGTTATCTGTTTATTTAAGCTACTTTGCAATTAAAGATGCTTCTTATATTGAATTAGTAGTAGGAGATTAGAGAAGACGTTGGACACATTGCTTGGAACAAATTGGACACATTTTTTTTGTGCTCATGCAAATAAAAGATTAATTTAGATGATATAGCAGTAATGTGGAATTACGATGAGACAACGAGCATATTTAGTTCCCTGAAGCAAAATTATTTGCTTTTTAAGCTGGATGTTGGTTGGCTGATTTTATACGGCCATTACCCCTCTATGCTTCCATCTTGAAATAGGGGAAAGAAGACACTTTATAGTAATACACTAAAATTTATTTTGTAGACATTCTCTCCTACTTAATAGGAATTAAGTTATAAACAATCTCTCTTTGGTGAAGTTAGATCGCAAGAAGGAGATCTGCACACATGTTGAAACACCCTGATGCTCAAATTATAAGCCTTGGAATTGGTGACACTACTGAGCCCATTCCTGAATTCATAAGTTCTGCCATGGCACAGGTAATGCTGATAGCCTTGTTTTTGAATTTTGTAAAGATAGGATACAGTTTCTGATGTTCAGGGGTCATTTGACGTCTCTATCACGCTGTAGTGTTTTGTTATTAGTCAAACTTCGTTTTTTGTTGTATGTCGTATCTTGTTCTGTTGACCGATGATAGGACTACTGGAAAAAGTCATGTACGTTTGGTTCTATAATGAACATGTTTCTGGATATTTGTGTTGATAGAATTCAGCACGCCTACATGGACTGCCATTTAACTTGACAAGTAGTTTGTATTTTTAATCTATTCTGCTTATTGAACTCTAAGTCAATAACCAACTTCCTGTTCTTGATTTTGTTTTCTTTTACTCTACTCATTGGCAGAGAGCACATGACCTATCAACATTAAAGGGTTACAGTGGTTATGGTGCTAAGCAAGGAGAAAAAGTAAGTAGTGGATTTCATATCCTCCCCCCCCCCCCCAATACCCCCCTATTTTTGTAATATGATATTAGGTCTATTGTTTATCGTCCATTTCTTAATTCTCTTCCATTTTTTGTTACAAGAATAAATGGTATTTTGCATGTGCGCTAATAGTTTGTCTTTCCTCTATTTATCCGGTTCATTTTGTATCTTCTTTCCTCAAATGCATTACTATCTTCTTGGTCCGGTGGTCCACGCGGTAGAGTAAAAACTTCCTCTTTTGGCATAACTAGTTTCTCTACACGAGTATTCCATGTCAATTAGTACAGACTTTTTGAAATATTATATAATATTAAAACATATGTATAATGAGTACCATAAAATTTAAAGGAAAAAATTACAAGCTCAAATTGTTGTGCAATCTGCATAATTGAATGACTTAATTATTGACCGCTAAATGATTAGATGCAAGTGTATTCCTATCATGTCAAGCAATACAATTATTTTTTTAAAACGATATACATAAAGCAAAAAAATGTAAACGTAAAATGAAGAAATGTCTAAGTTGTATGGTGTTGGATACATAGATGTGTTTTGTAATTAATTATTCCCCATTTCAATGCCGCAAAGAACTTGACAATTATCAAAGCAATATAATCATCTTTTCACACAATTCTGCACTAAACCCATACATTACCATTTCGAGGCTATATCAGATTTTGACATTATTATTTTTTTTTAAAAAAACTCAACTTTACCCTACCATTCTTATCAAATGATAATATGGTAAGGGGTAACCATCCAGTTACCACAGACCACAAAAGTCATTGGCAACAACTAAACTAGATTTTCTTTTTTCAATGCGACCTTGCTGAGTAAAAATATAGCTGAACAAACTAAAGAATGACTATGCAGAAGTCCATTTTCTACAAAACAAGAAAACTAAATAAAACCTTTCCAAGTGCCAAATATCTTAAGTTCTCTAACGTCACAGGAAGGCGTACTTGTTCTTGTTGAGCTATTTTACATAAGAGAGACTACATGTTTCCGCTTTCTCCACATAGGCATTTTTCAAGCACCGTTGCAAAGGGAGTACTAATTCAGTTGAAATTCTTGTACGCAAAAAACAGCTGGGAGAGCCATATTTCTTAAGATGACAGTGTATAAAAATACAGAGGTAAGAGGACATACTTACTTGGACTAGGATTGACCTATTTGTAAGGAAAATCAGCTAAACCAAACCAAACCCAGATCTGAAACTCTGGACAGCAGACCGGCAGATCCGAACAACGAGCAGCAGCAATTTTTCAACCACAGCTTCTTCTTCTTTTTTTTGAAATTTTCAGATTTGAGAATCCCTTTTGAATTTCGAAAATTCGTTTTTCTTTTTTTTTTTTTTTTAGGCGTGTGTGAGTCGATGAAATCAGAGAGAAAACGGGAAGGGATAGAAAGTGTGTTCTCTGTTGAAAAAAAAAAAAAAACGGAGGTCCGATTTCTTTTTTTTTTTTTTTTGGAAGGATGGAAAAAGGCTAGGATTTTTCCACCGTCTCTGTTGTTGGTGTTAGGGGTCTGTTGGTTTTGTTTTCACGAAGGAGAAAGGGGTGTTTTGGCCCAGATCCAAAAATCATCTTATTTTGAGAATTTTTTCTTTTAAGAGTGCTTTTTTCAAAAACTATTTTCGGTCAGAAACAGTTTATTTTGGTTAATTAGTTTGAAAAGTACTTTTGAGAATTAATTAATGTTTGATCAAGTTTAAAAAACTGTTTCTAACTTCAGTTAAATAGTTAGATCATCTTTAAGAAAAGAAATGTGAATTCTTACCTATGAATTAACTACATAGATAGATTCAAATTCTTCTATTTAAATAAAAGACAAAAATATGGTAAAAATAAAGAAACTAAAACTAAATAAGTGGACTGCATTCTATTTTCAACATATGCTTCTTCTCCTATTGTTTTCCTTCATTAGTTTTTTTCTTTCACTGTTCTTTTCCTTTATAATTCTATCATCGATCTTCCTCTAAATTATCTATCCCCTAAATAAGCTCTATTTGAGAAAAATCTCTACTTGTCTTCGATCCTCTAATTTAAAATAATTTTTTTCTTAGTCTAATATGTTTTTCTCTTTCCCCTTTCTTCCTCTTTTGTACCGCTGCTTCCAATTAAGTAATTATTTTCTTCTTTCTTTCTTTTTCTCTCTGTTTTATGTGGTTGGTCCGAGAAAATCAAAAACTTTGGCCCCCTAACTCCTTCATGCTGTACAAATCTATATTTTCTTCTCCTAATTCCAAAAAAAAAATTGCTTCTTCTATTTCAAGCTTTTTTTCCTTTATCATATTAATAAGAAGTAAAAAATATCTAATCGAACACTTCGGGTTACGAAATAAAATTCATCTGAGCAATCACTTAAAACTTAAGGGTCAATGAGACAATCTCAATTAGGGGTGTCCATGGTTCGGTTTGGATCGGTTTTTCCTTAAAAAGAAACCAAACCAAGTAAATAGGTTTTTCAAATATTAAAACCAAACCAAATCAATTAAGTCGGTTTTTTCTTGATTCGGTTTATGTCGGTTTTTTCTTAAATATAAGACATACACTATCAAACACATATTCCTGAGACCACATTTTTAACGTAACACTATCAAATCAATTGCCCTTTGAGGAATCTATTATTTACCAAGATATATTGATGATAATTGAATCAAATAGTGATGAATAATTTAAGGACTCAATTAAAAATTTATTATTTTTAACACAAAATGGATTCTTACACTTGACAAAAGATTTCAAATCATACTAGAATGTAAAGGTAAAGAACTATACTAAAAGTGCAAACTATTAGCATTTACCATTAAATTTTTGAAACTTTATAAAAAATATACATATATATAGGTGTAATAATAAATTTGAAATAGCTACTCCTATAGTCGGTTTGGTTCGGGTTTTTTTCGGTTTTTTTTTATTAAAACCAAAACCAAACCAAATTTGATCGATTTTTAAAATTCTAAACCAAAACCAAACCAAACCAAAAAATATCGATTTTTTTTGTCGGTTTGGTTTGGTTTTCGATTTTTCCGGTTTTTATGAACACCCCTAATCTTAATCATTTATGCGCAGTTATAAAAAAGCAAATAGAAACAAATAAAATTCTGTATTAGAGGGACACTAAAAAATTCTAAGAATACTTTTTTCTAACTTGAAGAAATAAAAAATAAAAATAAATAAAAGATAGGTTACAAAAAACCTTATACACTACATTCAATCTATAGGCAATAAAAAATTTTCTTCAACATAACAAGAACAAAAAAGGTTGATAGTAGTGATACACAATGTACCAACTCTTACGCATTAGCCAAACTTGACAAATGCGGTAACATGTTTGTTGAGCTATGTGCATTTTATTTATATTTCTCCCTCACTGTTAGTTAGCTTAGCTCAGCTACTTATTAGTTAAATGTTAGTTTAGCTTAGCTGTCAGTTAGTTGGCATTTAGTTAGTGGTCCATGTTGTAAGTGGAGGACCTCACTCATGTATATGTGTACTCGTTTTGATGAACAAATAATATAGAATTCATTTTCCAGAAGTTTCCCTCTTTCAGCTCTCTCTATCTCGAAGCTTCTGCTCCTTCTCCATGGCAGTTCAAACTCAAGCTCAAGGTCCTCTGTGATCTTCTCTTCTTTACATGGTATCAGAGCTTTGCTCTATCAAATCCTATTGCTCGATTCCTGTTGAATCGTGAATTTTTTGTTGCAGAACTGGGAATTCCATTCTTTTGCCCTAATTTTCGATTTTGCCAATTTTCTTCTCCCAAATTGATTATCACATGGCGATTCTCGATCAAGCAGATGATTCCGGCGTTACTGCAGGTAGTCCTATCGCTACCCCCATTTCCGAGTCCAACATCGATCCGAATTGTCCCTTTTACATGCACCCTTCTGATAACCCAGGTGCAATGTTGGTGACGACTCCTTTCAGCGGTATTGGTTATCGATCTTGGAGGAGGAGTGTTCTACGCGCTCTCTCCGTAAAAAATAAGTTAGGTTTCATCAATGGTGAATGCAAACGTCCAGAACCAGATTCCCCATCCTTCCGTCAATGGATGCGTTATGACGATATGGTTACTTCGTGGATTTTAAACTCCCTTGCTAAAGATATCGCAGATAGCGTAGAATACGCAAAGGATGCAGCAGAGTTATGGACAGATTTGGAGGATCGCTATGACCAAACCAATGGAACCAAGCTATATCAGATTCAGAAGGAAATTAACGATTTATCACAAGGAGTACTCGACGTCACAGGTTACTACACAAAAATGAAAAGGTTATGGGAAGAGTTGAACAATCTGAGTACCAAATCTCAATGCAGCTGTAAGTGCACCTGTGGAGCCAAGGAATTCATGCATAAGGCCGAACAGGACAAGCGTCTGACTCAATTTCTGATGGGACTTAATGAAGTGTATACAGTTGTGCGAGGTAGTATTCTGATGATGAATCCATTGCCATCAGTGGCTCAAGCATTTTCTCTGCTAATCCAAGAGGAAAAACAAAGGGAAGTTAGGCCAAGCAACTCGCTTAAGATGGAATCTGCATCTATGAATGTCAATTCTTCTAGGAATATCAGTCTGCCTACAATGGAGTCTACCTCTTTAAATGTCAATACATCTAGAAATGAGGGCTTCAAGACCAATTATTCAACTGGGAATCACCCGAATAGCAGGCCTCGTCCGTTTTGCGATTATTGTAAACGCCCAGGGTATACGAAATATAAGTGCTTCAAGTTACATGGTTACCCCCAAAATAACACCTTTAATCCTAGATTCAATAAGGGGAAAAGAGTTTCTGCAAATGTACATGGTGCACCAGTTGATTCTATGTCAGTTAAGGATGATGGAATGAGCTCTCAAGGGTGTAATGACAACAACAACATGAACTCTCCTCTTAACCTGACCAAGGAACAGTATGGGCAGCTATTCAGTCTACTACAACAATTTCATATTGGGAATGGAGGAGAGAACACCACCAGTCCGGCTCTAACCAATGGAAATGCCAATTTTGCAAGTATCTTCGCTTGTTCTGCCTCTGTCTTGTCCATTGATTTTGGTTTGCTGTCATGTAGATGTTTTACACCAAGTGCTGACCTCTGGATCTTGGATTCCGGAGCATCCAATCACATGACCTTTAATAAATCCCTATTATCTCACACCAAAACTCTTTCATATCCTTTGCTGATCACTCTACCCAATGGCTATCGAGTGAAAGTGACAGAAATTGGAACTGTAACTCTTACATCTCAGATAGTATTACATAAAGTCCTTTATGTACCTTCTTTCAAGTATAATCTCATTTCTGTTCATTGCCTTACTTCACAGCTTAAAAGCCTAGTTGCCTTCACTGATTCTTCATGTCTTCTGCAGGCCCCTTCAATGAAGAGGCCTCTGGAGATTGGTGAGATCAAGGATGGATTATATCTCCTTTGCTCCAGCTGTCTAAAGAACTCAGTTTCAACTTCAGATTCTGTCCCTTTGAATTCCTGCAATGTTTTCCCTACTTCATGTCATGTAAATAGTTTACATTCTCATGCTCACTCACCTGTAAATGTTTCACACACTCACACTCATCCATGTTCACTTGTAAATACTTCCTATTGCAATAAAACTCAATGTTCTGCTTTCCAATATACTTTGCCTAGTACAAACAGTGTGGATCTTATATGGCATAACAGGTTGGGACATATACCTTTTGTGAAAATGAGGAGTATCCCTTCAATTCCAGCCTAATTTCATTCAAAGCAACCTTTCCTTTATTCAATTTGCCCCATGGCTAGACAATCCAGGCTATCCTTTCCTCAGAAAACAAGCTCCACCAGTAATATGTTTGATCTCCTACATGTTGACCTGTGGGGACCTATCATGAGCCCACTCATGATAATTTTAAGTACTTTAATACCTTAGTGGATGATTATAGTAGGTGTACCTGGACACACCTCTTAAGCTCCAAAAGCAATGCTTTACAAATCATTAAAGCCTTTGTGTCTATGGTCAGCACCCAGTTTCAAACTAAAATCAAGTGTGTTAGGTCAGACAATGGCCTAGAATTTACCAACACTGAGTCCACTCAATTCTTTCATTCCAAGGGAATCATTCATCAGAAAACATGCCCTTATACACCTCAACAAAATGGAGTGGTAGAAAGGAAACATAAATATCTCTTTGAGACTGCCAGGGCACTCTTGTTTCAATCCAAATTGCCCCTCAAATATTGGGGAGAATGCATATTAACTGCCACCTACCTTATTAACAGACTACCTACCAGCTATCTTAAAAACAAAACTCCTTTTGAATACCTATACAGAAAAGCACCCAATTTTTCCCATCTTAGAAGTTTTGGTTGTTTATGCTTTCCTACCACTCCTAAGCCTCACAGAACAAAATTTGAACCAAGAGCTACACCCCATATTTTTGTAGGCTACCCCTGTGACACAAAAGGGTACAAAGTCCTTAACCTTGTTACCAAGAAAATCTCTGTTTCCAGAGATGTGGTGTTTCATGAGAATGTATTTCCCTTTACCCTTCTATCTGCTTCCATACCCTCTCCTTTTGTTTTTCAACCTGTCCCTCTTGTTGATGATCTGCCTCCTCCTCCTACCAATTCTGATAAATCTGCCACCCTTTCTCCTTCTTCCAATTTACCATCCTCATCTGATTCTCCTTGCAATTTACCATCCTCATCTGATTCCCTTTCCAATTTACCATCCTCATCTGATTCTCCTTTACATTCTCCTCATATAGCTACTAGAAAGTCCTCTAGACTTCACAAGTTACCTGTTCACTTAGAGGATTATGTGTGTTCTCTACCCATCTTGAAGGCTCCTGCTTCTTCTGCTGCTCCTTTGTCTCTTAGTGCTTCATTCTCCAATCATCATCATGTGTCCCTCACTTCTCTACTCC